GAATTTACATACTTTAATCGGAGAATATTATCACTGAGTTTGTGATATAAGAAATACGGATAGAGAAAAAATCTAAAGTACAAATTCTTATCATAAAATAGGAGCATTAGCAACCCAAAACTGAAAATTGTAATTTATTTAAGCTAGTATGATGAAAAGCATAAAGCATCTGAACAGTTAAAAAATCCATGGCAATAAAAAGGCATGGATAAGATGAAGTGACATGAAAACACCAAACAATGGGGGATTGCTAGCAGCTACATTATACCGGGTTTATTCTAAATAGAAGATGATGCACGATAATGTTAACCGAAGTTTGTTGAAATAGTTAAAAAATATAGATCGACCAACAGGGCTTTTGCTTCCTAATGCGAGCATGTCAAGAGATTTTTTAAAATTAGCGTCAATAATTGAAGCGACAAACAATGCAAAAATCAATTTTGAAAAATAAAAACCCGGATTTCTAACGAAATAAATATCGGTACTACTCCCACTATTTAGCAAGCTAGTAGAGCAAAATTTGGTCCAATGCAAAAATAATGCAAGCGAATACACTCCCACCAAATACATGAAGGCAGAGAGAACAGAAATGTTTAGCCCAAAATTATGACAGAGGCATTAATCCCTCTTAAATATAGTCATATCCAAAGTAGAATTTTTAAAAAAGGTAAACTATGGATAATAATGAAGAACCATCAATATTATGAGTATCGATAAAAGTGGACCTAAAAGCTATTTAGAAAATGAAAAGGCAAAATATGTAGTGATCTTATTTCTAAATTGTGAAAAACAATAGGTATTCATGCACCTAGGTGGAATTGATTTAAAATAAAATTTGCTGACAAGGATTAAAAGCAATGAATAAAAATATTTTAAATGTAAATTACGAATAATTTGAAAGCAAACAAATAAATTAAGCGAATTTTAAATCTGGAATGATATTTGAATGAATTAAGAAAATAGGGGTAGCATTATCAGCTTAGAGTCAGTTAATGCCAAAATCTAATATACTTTAATCATTAATGTCATACATAAAATAGTAAATTAAACTTGGTTCGATTAAAACACGTAAAATTCAGATGGCTTGAAAGCAACTATCAGCGCATGTTGATGTAAAATGAAAATTTTTTTTCACTATGCTTAAATGTTTAAATTTAATTGATTTACCTAAGAACCTGCTTCTCGTTATCCATTTGGGCATTGGCAACCATAGCACTTTTGAATTTTTCTTCCAGCCCCTGTAGTTGGCTGCGCAATTCCCTTGGGTCCATGCTTCTACTTGAGTTCCCTCCACAGCCAGGCTCGACGGAAGACTGTCTACTGCTATAACGAGAAGTCCCAGAACTATATTGAGTCTGAAAAGGAAAAACGAGGACATGTAATTGGGATTAAAAACGACAAATAAAAGCATGCTGCCAAAACGTTGCTCGAATTGCATAAGGGTAGAGGAGGCCGCAAGGAAAAATTTAAATTAAGCTAACCTTGCTCTCATATATATATGTGTCATCATTTTCTTCTTCCTGTGAGAAGGATTAGCTTATTAGTTAATCAGTACCTTTCGCCTTCGCCACATTTCCTTTGACCTTATTTGTCGAGCTTCTTGAATAAGCTGGCTTTTGGCAAATCTCTGAGCTTCGGTCTAAGTTGAAGTGATTAGGAAAAACTTTTCCTCACCTCCTGTGCCATTCGACCCATATCGGATATATCAGGCTTCCCATGAGGCCTAGAAGTCATATCACAAAACGTAAGCTTCTGTAAAGATAAAGAATAATTAAAAATAAATTTTATTTAAATTCATGTTATTTAAATGAAAACAAAGTTACCTATCAATCGAAGGTGAATAAAACGAAGAGGAGGAGCGAGAAGAAAGCACACGCGCTGAACACTTTAAATTCAAGTAAGTAAAACACTGATAATGGAGAATCAGAATACCATTTAAAAATACTTGAGAGAAATAAATTAAATTAAATCGCCTTTAAAATGCTTGATTTGCAACACATCAAGATTTTTGCTTCAGTACATGCCATATGATTTTGTGTAAATAAACAATTAATATGTTCGCCTTTTATTGAGTTTTATCTTTAAATCCCAAATATACGGTTTAGAAAACTGTAGTTCTCACTTCTATCCAAAGCCGGATTTTGTATAGCTTAGAAAATTTCATTATATTTTTATGAGGACTGTCACCTAAGCCTATGTTTGGCATAATAGATGAATTTCTATAGTAATTGGTCTTAATTACTAAATTTTTCCATAAATTATTCTTACTAATGAAGAATGCAATTTTCTTTACAATTAGGGCCTGTAAGTACATTCAGCAGTGTTTAAAATCAGGGCACACGTATCAAGCAACACGTATCAAGATACAATTCACTAGGGCGTTGCGACTCTTGAGGCGGGCAACTCCCATCTCACTTTATATATATATATACTATGAACTAAAATTTTCCACCAGCTGAGCTAATTAATTAGTATTGTTCCTATAAAAGAGTATGGTCTAGCGGAACGAAAATTAATCTGGATACTTTGTATATAATTACTATAATGTTGATAAGTATTCTACAAGTATTGGCTAAAAGGACAAGGCATTTCTTCAAGCCACTAAAATTTGAGATGTTACAGTGTGTGCAAGATATGGTAAGGTGGATGTTCAGCGTGAATATTAGACATTTTAAAATTCCGTAATATACTTCAGTATACCAATGTTAAAAGCAAACGATTTCGGTATTATTGAAATCGCTTTTGATCTGTTCTCTAATGGGTTCAGATGGGCCAAAAAAATTTAATTATGTATTCAAATGCAGCGTTCTCGTGCACCTATTACTTAGCAAAGTATTATGTGAACTTTTGCTTACGATGGGCGTGTAAGTGTGAAATTAATGTTATTCTGTCACTTTGTTATCTGGCATCTACAAATTTTTCACCCGAAAATATTGCAAATCTTCCAAAACTGCGAGGGTCAGTACACCACACCGAATAAATAGGATAGAGCTTAAATAGGCAGAAGCGATTTTAAACTTGAAAGTCACAAATGTCTTGTGGCCGATAGACATAAAGGTCGCGTAGCTGAGTGGTGATGAGTTGGAATTTCACTCAAATGATCCATTAAAAAATCTTATTCTGTATGTTGATGATAAAAAGTTGATGACATAACTGCGGACAATATTTAATAGCAAATAAAGTGAATCCTCTACTTTATTTGAAAAGGCTAGTGGAAGGGATTTATAACTAAAACAGGACTGGGATTCAATACAGCATTGCATTGTAGTTATGACTGCAAATTTATGCGAATTAGTCCTTGTTACACAGTTAAATGAATCCAAAGAATCCTTGATGAACCTTTGTTTGCCATGTACGAGACATCATAAGAGCATGAAATTATGCTTTATGATATTTCAACAAGTACGACGACAAAAAAAGTAGCCTTCTGTAAGGCCACCTACTTCTTATATATATATAAGGAAGTCTTAGGCTTAATTTAAATTCGCCTTTGCTCTGTGACTCAAGGATGCTAGCGCCAATGTGGAGTGGTGAATAATGTGTTGGAAATATACGCTGCACTGCCCGGGTTCTAGTCCTGCTGGGGGTGCTGATGAGATCTAGGCGAGTTCGAAGCGGCAGTCCGCCCTGGATGAGTAAAGCTTTTGGGAGGCAAGGAAAAATGAGACATAATTATAGCATTTTGGGAAGACTCAACCGCCAGTCCTTTATAAGTTTGAACGCAATGGGGGGAATTCAGATCTTATATAAAATCAATTGTTAATCTCGAAAAGCTACTTATACGTTTAAATATAATATACTACCTCTACATGCTCGCGTAAAAGTGAATTGTCTACAGTTGAAGGGGGAAATTGGTGCATATGTAGCAGAATTTATGTATTCTTCCATAAATCCCTTGTATTATTTATCATGCAATGCTGATGCATTTAATTACGTTAAATTATATATGTGCCTTGTAATTGTATTTATCGTTATATTTATTCGGTTTTAAAGTGGTTATCGAATTAAAGTATATTAAAGCATCCTATTACTACTTGATACCTCTCATCGACT